TGCACCTTCTGAAGGGCCAGGTGTCTTAGATGAGGTAGATGGAAGGCTACCTGTGCTTTTTTCTGAAGGGTGAGTTGTACTTATATTTACAGAAACCACTTCAGATGCTTCGGTACCTACAGACGATGATGAAGAAACCGTTGACTCTGTTTCCAAAGTTGTACCATAGGTGGTTGACGGTTCTTCTGACGATGCTACTGGAGTAGAGGTCTCTGAAGGTTCCGATGACTGAGAGAACTCTTCAAAATCCATTCCTGCCGTAGTCTCTTTACTGATATCGGCTATCGAAGGTGTAGCTGAAGCTAAGGAACCGTCTGGAAGATTAGTTGACACTTTGGTGAAGTCTGGCGAAGCAGTGTCTTCTGTGATAGTAAAGCTGGGCTCGTCTGTGCTACGAAGCCCCTCAACAGGTCTAGGTTTTGAGGTAACTCGTCCTAGTTTTTGTGAATCAGATTTAGTCTGTCCTGGCAGGGTTTTCGTACTCTGCGATTGGGTACTAGGGGGAGTTGGAGACTCTGAGGTACTGGTCTTTCTTGTAGTTTCGGAAGTCACGATGGCGGCTGAGGAAGTGGTAGCATTAGCAGTAGGAGAGGTACTTGATAATTGGGAAACTCTAGTAGATATGGGAATGGAGATAGTTGAGCCTTTAGTGCTAGTCTCTGTTAAGTTGACTTTCTCAGATGTAAGTGTCACAGGTGATCCCGTAGAGGTAACGTTAGGCAGTGTAACTTCACCAGAATGTAGGACAGCTTTTGAAGTAGCACCTACTTTCCCTTTAATGACATCTACGGATGAAACAGTTGTCTTTAGTGGCTCTCGAAAAACTTCTTTAGATGATGGGGATATACCTTCCATAGCCTCTCCTGAAGATTCTGTTCCTGAACCTTCAAATGAAGTTGTGGAAGCTTCACTACTTCCAGTTAGGCTCTTACGACCGAATTCTGATGTGGAAGTAGACGTCGACTGTGTTGTAGTTTTAACAGACGAGGTCATTTTTAGCTTCTTTGTAACTTTTTGTGAGACGGTGGAGGTTATTTCAGTCTTCTTAACCTCTGGTAAAGAAGAAGTCGGTGAAGTAGATGAACTTGTCTCCTCTTCTTCTTTGATAATGGAAGGTTTGGCTTTTGCTATAA